GCAAATTTATTATATTATCATTATATGTGGATGATATATTACTCGTTGGAAATGACATAGAAATGTTGAATAAAATCAAGGCAAATCTCAGCAAAAAGTTTGAGATGAAAGACATGAGAGATGCATCATATATTCTTGGAATTCAAATAATTCGAGATAGAAGTTTGAGATGAAAGACATGAGAGATGCATCATATATTCTTGGAATTCAAATAATTCGAGATAGAAAGTCTAGAATGAGAGATGCATCATATATTCTTGGAATTCAAATAATTCGAGATAGAAAGTCTAGAATGCTAAGTTTAAATCAAGAAAAAATATTTAAGATCAGTTCTTAAAAGGTTTGGAATGAAGAATTCCAATCCGGCACCAACTTCGTTGGTCATGAGAAAGAGATTATGTAAAGAACAAAGCCCTGGAGAGGGTCAAAAGCCATTAGATGTTCTTTATGTTCAAGCAATTGAGAGCTTGATGTATGCAATATTATACACCAGACCTGATATAGCTTATGCTGTGAGTCTAGTCAGTCGATATCAAAGTAATCCAGGACCAGCACATTGGGAAGCTGTTACCAGGATTATGAAGTGTATCAGAAGTACATTGACTCATAGATTAGTTTATCAAGCCGATTCACTTGAACTATTCTGATGCTGATTTTGGAGGTGATAAAGATGATGGAAAGTCCACTTCGAGACACTTATTCATCTTTGAAAGAGGAGCTATTGCTTGGAGTAGCAAGAAACAAGAGTGTGTTACTAGATATACGCAAGAAGCTGAATATATAGTTTGCAGTACGGCAACTACACATGCTGTCTGGATAAGACGGTTTTTGATTGATCTAGATCTTAATTTGTTAGAAGGACCTATTGATATTTATTTTGATAATCAAACAACAATTAGCTTAATCAATAGTGACGTGAATAGCTCCAAAGGAAAACACATTGATATCCAGTATCACTATATTCGAGATATTATAGAAAATAGAGAAGTCAAATTGACTTATATCCCTACTACAGATATGATTGCTGATCCTTTGACAAAAGGAATACCAGCGGAAGCTTTTATCAAACATATAAGTTTGATGAGACTTAAGAATAAATAAGTCAAAGTAAAATTTAATGAATAATGAAATAAAAGTTACTCCCTATGAATAGTGAGAGTAATGGTAATGAGAAACATCTGATCTCACGGATAGTGAGAGACATATCACTTGGTTGATTTGGTCAAGTGGGAGATGTAACTAAAGACTCGGTCTTATGGTGACCAAATCAACGATTTTTAGTAGAGAAAATCGTGGGAAGTGGGTTGTTGAGAGAGAATCTCTTAGGGGCAGTTTTGAGGGGTGGAGATGATGTGTTTGGCCCCTATAAAAGGAGGAGTATTCTACTTCAGAAAATACAACGAAAACAGTGAAAAACCCTCTAACCTATTACTAGAGCCCTCTCAAAGAATTCATCGTTCTTTCTCCTCTTCTTTGTAATTCGATCAATATGGGCATTGCTCGAGCCCCCTTAAGTACCCCGTTGAAGCTTTCAGAACAATTAGTTATCATGCAAAACCAATTCCCTCCATCTTTATACTTAGTGTCCGTCCATCGGTCGACATATGCACTTCCCAAACTACTCTCAATCCAGCAATATGCAACTTGAGATATTACCTTGATTTGATCCCGTATCCGATCATACATATATGTTTTGGGTGTACAACCCACTTGCCAAAGAAGATTTTGTAAATGTATCTGGTCAAAACTCTTTTTAAAATTAGCTCTAATGTGTCTTAAGCAATCGCGGTGATGGTGATGAGAGCCAAATCTCCTGTACAATGCTTTAGAAATATCTTTCATGCTATCAGATATAAAAATAATTTTCCTAGGAGGCAGCACATTAAAAATATATAATTGAATGCAGGAAAAAACCACTCAATTTTCAATGTTTTCGACCTCCACAACTGCGAAGGCCAAAAAGGAAATAAGCACCATCTACATCTACTCCTGTAGCAACAAGCAATCCCTCAATCAAAAGACCAAATGCCCAAAATACAGAGGTGAATTGATGAACTCTCGGATTGATCTCTTTGGTTATGTGTTTGTATTCAGATACAAGATTTTTTCTTTTGATTGCATCAAGATATTGATGAAGTGTCGCGTAAGACTTCTAATTACCAAATATTTTTGTTATCGCAATTCTTCTTGCATTCCATACTTTACTATATGATATTTCAATGAATTTCATATCTAGCACTCTCTCAATTACATTACTGGGAGTTAGTTCAAGCTTCTTCTTTAATTTTTGTATAATCAACCGCGCTATGTAAGAGGCAGTTGCATCACTCTGATCTTGCTCTAATATCGGATTGCTACATGTGTGAACACTGCAGTATTTTATGATCCTAAAATGCGATTGCTTTTAACTTGCTTGAATTTGACATTCTTTTTTATTTAGAAATCACGAATAGCATCAACCTCTTCTATGAAAGGGACGTCATCATCTCTTCTATAAGTTGAACTTTGGCCAATGCACATATCTTGTACTATCATCTTCAAACTCGTCAATGGGGTTATTCTTCGTATTCAACATATTCATTATTGGCATAAGCCTCATCAGGCTAATCCGGATTCTCTTCAACATTTTTAGTCACAAATTGCATGCTATCTTGCTCGTTATTGGTGCATTTAGATACTGAAATTGAGTCTGCTTCATTTTACTCAAAGAAGATAGAAAACCATCAGACTCAACTCCCAAATTTAACATGCGTGAAAATTCTCCTGGAGGTTTGATTATTTGGCACGAACTATATGACAATTTTTTAATAAACAATTCTACCGTTGGTTGTGACTTGCTCAAATTAAACATAATACTCATATGATGATCGTTTGAGATATTAACTGCGGACGTTCTATCAAAGTTATGAGCCAATTGCATATTATTTTTAGTCGGTACTCTCGTGGGTCAATTTTCGTAACTCAGTGGAATTCCTTAATCAAGTCATAGTAACTATATGATTTCGATATCATTAACAGCGTCGTTACCCCTCCGACATACATTGACATATTATTCATTTCATAATTAATTTTCACACCATAAGAGCAAGCAATAAAAATCATATTGTTCAACCTATGCAAAAGAAGATTGTATCATTTAATTGTAAAAAATTTAAAAAAGTTTATCAGGACATCTACTCCTCTATACAAAAGAGAGAACCCAAGATTCACTATTCATGCTACAGCTACAGTAACATTTACTGTAGTATTATCACAGCAACAAACATGAAAATGGGCGCCGTTGTTTTTAAAAATATCACTGTGGCACATGGGATACTGTAGCAATAAAAAACCTAAAACTGTAGCAGTTAAAACCAAGATCACTGTAGCAGAGAAAAAAATATGTAGTGCTTTGCACGGTGTTCACACTAGTTGAATAAGAGAGGAAAACCCAAGATGCAAATAATCTCATATAATTTTGACCAAAAACCCTAAACACCAGGGATATTGTAGCAATAAAAAAACCTAAAACTGTAGCAGTTAAAACTAAGATCACTGTAGCAGAGAAAAAAATATGTAGTGCTTTGCACGGTGTTCACACTAGTTGAATAAGAGAGGAAAACCCAAGATGCAAATAATCTCATATAATTTTGACCAAAAACCCTAAACCCCAAAATGAAAGTCATAAACCCTAGATTTGAGCATTCTATGCCCTAGAAGTTTAATTTCAATTATAACAATCAACACAAAGTATTGGAACCACCACAAATATAGTGATTGATAATAAATTTCAAACCCTAAAAATTGGATTTTGATAGAAAACCCTATATTTTTACATGTTAAAAGAGGAGAGAAGGAAGAGAAATTACCCTAGAGATCTTAAGCAAAACTTTCACGACAAATTTCGGCCACAAAATGGAGTTGGGAGAAGTGGGAAGGCGGCTGAACAAGAGAAGACCGGAGTTGGAGAGGAGAAAAATCGCGATATGGGGGAAGAAATGGGTTCGGTCTGTATATATAAGGGGGAGAGGACCCACCAGAAATAGTCGGGGTTGGCAACCCCGACTATTTCATGACTTAGTCCCTCCCCCCATTTTCGGGTTGGGTCTTGTTGCGAGTCTTTGCTAAATGGTTGGGGTTCCCAACCCCGACCATTTCGACTTCACGCTTCAAAATGTCCAACCCGACGGCGTTGGAAACCCCGACCATTTTGTGCAATCACCAAATTAGTCGGTGTTTCAATTTCGAACCCCGACTTGTTTAGCCGCCTAACCACGAGAGGGCTGCGAGCGAGGTACTTAGTCTGGGTTGGCAACCCGGACTAATTAGGATCGCAATTTTTTTTAAATGATCCACTTTTTGGCCACGAAACTAACGTGGCGAGAAAGTGGGTCGATTTTGGTAAAAAAGTTTGGAGTGGGTCGATTTTTGGGATTAAAATTTTGAATGGGTTTATTTTGAAAATTTGTTCCATCAATAAATTATACTGTCAAAACCATGGCATATAAGAGTTTGGGCACTTTTGTGGCCGCTAGCTAACTTCATATGCGTCTTTGTAATTTTGTAAGACTCATCTATTATTATTGTAGTTTGGACATAGGAGTCCTCAAATATGAAGTACTTCAACCATAGGTGAGACAATTATCCTAGTTGAGTTGGAGGTATTTTCATAATGAATCAAATTATTAAAAATAGGTAGTAAATTGAAGTTAGAAGTCACTTTGATTAGCGTTTCAGATACCTATGAAGTTGTGTGAATCTCAGTCTATTGTATTTATTGCATCAGCATTAGTCATCCAAAGGACATGTCTTCTCAGCTGATCAGTGCAGGCTGCACTCGTAGTGTGTGGTCTTGATCATTCATAACATTGTACTAGGTCATCCAATATTTGGTGAAATGTCACCTTATTTAGTATTTTAGGTTATCTGCTTATTTAATGTGCTATATGAAGAGCTTTTTTTTCATTCATGTCTAGTAATTTGAATAGTGGACTAAGTTCCTATGTGGCTTTGTCATGCAGGAGATGACCGGGCTTAAGAAGCAACTTGAAAGTGAATTGGAGCAGTTGTCATCGGTATGTCTACTGATATCTCATCTCATTTTATTTTTGTTTTCCAAACTTTTATATGATTTTGTTTTTCCACGTACCTTCCCTTAGGACTTTAAAGAACTGAAAACCACTCTCCAGAAGCAACAGGAAGATGTCACTAATAGTTTGAAGAACTTGGGTGTAAGTAATCTTCTCACCTTCTGATTTGCTCTCTCTGGACCTTCCTTTGTGTAAGAGACTGCTGCATTAAGTTATGCTGGTGAATTGAAAGCCAATCAAATTTAGATCATTTGACACTTTTTTTTTAGATAGATAACTGAAAGACTCTCTTAAGGCATCAAGGTAAGAATGATAACTGAAAGACTCTCTTAAGTGCATCAAGGTAAGAATTATATTCATATAAGTAAAAGAAACCACCAGCGGTTTCTTACTGTTTAAGCATAATTCATGCCCATAAAAATTTGATATAATATTGGCACAAATATTTCTATGAATCAATAATGTTTCAGGAACCTAGGAATTCATCAGTTCAGCTGCAAAATTATAGTTCTTGGGTTTTGAAATCATTAGCAAACCATGAAATTTTAGTTATTCTTGAGGACCAAATGGTTATTACCACCAAATGACTACCTTGTCTTTGCATTTTTTTTAAGAACAAAAGCAAGAACTAAGTTATCTTGAGCAAAAATTTTAAGGAATTGCTAAGTGTTATGTTTATCTGGCAGCTGCAAGATGCCCCTAAACATTCTGGGGAGTCTGAAATTGAGGAGGATAATTCGGATAAAGCACAAAGTCCTGCATCAGAAAGCAAAGGGGATTCTTTGCCTGCTGGAGAATCCTCTATCCAGTAGGCTAAAAGATTTTCTACCATGCAAAACTTGAGAATGAAGGAAAATATTGCACTCTCACAGTATATGCTGCTCAAGTTATGCCCATCCTCAGTAAAATTCCCTCAGAAATGCTTATAATGGAGGTATATGCTGGTGTATTGGCTCATTATATTTGATCTGCATGATCAGGCAACAAAAAAGTGAACATAATAGGTTATATCCCTCTATGTACCTGTAATAACAAACATAGTTTGTTTCTCATCTAATACTTTCACTATTCTTGGTTTCTTCATGTGTGCAACGTTCTTCGATTTGTTCAAATTGCTTCGACGGCTTTGTTATTTCTACGGTATAGAGGCATAGAGCTATTATGAGTCCAAGGCTCTAAGATTTATCTGCATGAATGCATACTTTCTTAAAGAGCAACAGCTACTTACAATGATTCCTGATTAGATTATTGCATCCCATTGATGAAAGATCTATTTCAAGATTTGAAATTAATGATGCAATCGTATGTACCAAGTCATTTGTTAGCGACAAAAATCATGGTCCCATTATTATGGCATCCGGTTGCAAAATGCGCTTTACTAACCGAAGAATCCTGATCAAAAGGACGCGGTGAAAGAGACGCTGATCAAAATGCCCATCTTTTTTAATTTGCTGACGGCTGCCCCACTTTGTCCAAAAGTGGATGAAGGATATCAGGGCTTTGTTAGTGCTAACAAATAGGGTTGGGCATGGGCTGGTTCGAACCGTTGGCTGAACCAGCCCAGCACAGTTTGGGTTTAAACATGGCCCGGCTCACATCAGACCGGGGCCTAACTCAGCTCATATTGGTGGTGATTCATGGGTTGGTCTACGTTTTGATCTAGATCCGAGACCAAAGAAGTAGGCCCAGCCCCCCAATGGCCCGACTTGGCCTAGCCAGCTCGCCCCTCACCAAACCCCGCCCCGACCCTTTAATTATAAATATTTATTTTGTTTAGCAAAAAATAAATAGGCCTCACAAAGTCAGGTATTCGTTGAAAGTTCGAATTGCTTATATCTTTATGTTTGCTATGTTTTTCTGTGTGATGTATATATAGATGAACTACAATTTACTTGAGTGGATAAAGAATCTTGCCCTCCTAATTTTTTCTCCATTGATTTTGCCTTGGGATCCTTGAAATATATGAAGACCATTTTTTAGAATTGTGCATCTCTTGATAGCACAAATCTTAACGCAAATGAGTGGATAAAAAGTTAAGTGGACAATGATTGCTATCCACTCAAGTGGATTGTAGCTCATGTATATATAATTTGTGTTTGGTACTAAGTTCCTATATTTTTTTCATATATATGAGTAATATAGAAGAACTTGGTACTAAACACAGATTTTTGTGCTTGACAGTGAGATGATTTATTCACATCCGTTCTCCAACCCATGTGAATGTAGTCTCCTATTTAAATGAGTGAATGCAAATGAATCATCTCACTGTCAAGCTCAAAACTTATGCTTGATATCAAGTTCCTTCATATTGCTCATATGAGAAAAGTGTAGGAACTTGGCAACAAGCACAAGTTTTTATACTTGATAATGAAGTGTCACATTTGCATTCACTTTGCAACCTATGTGAATGTGGTCCCCTATTTGAATGAGTGGATGGAAATGAACCACCTCACTACCAAACACACATGTGCTTGGTACCAAGTTCCTCCATATTGCGCTCTCTCTCTCTCTAACAAAGTGCGAAGTTTATCAAATCATAACTAAGCTAAGAAATTATCTGGAAAGAGTAGACATCATAAAGTAACTGTCTTCACATACTAAACGGAGTTAGCCTTGGCCTAACTTCTTAACGAACTAATGGGAGAAAATGCACAGAGTAATCGTCTTAATTCTTCAAATGTAAACTGACAAAAGCGTTAGGATAATTTATCTATCTACGTAGAGGAGTTAATTTCACAAAATAATATTGGTGTACTAGTATATCCTCCAGGAAAAATAAAAATAAAAATGATGTACTCGTATAATGGGTTTTTATCTAGAAATCACCTCAAAATTAGGGTCATTATACATAAACCACTTTTTATTTTCAATTTTTACATAAATTATTTTTAAAGTGAGTTTTTGTTTCAATCAATCATCTCCTAGTCAAATTTTCACTAAGAAATAGAAAATAAACTAAAAAATACATGTTTTAATTTATGTGACTTTTATCCTAACTAGATCAAAACATAAATGAAGTGAGTCAAGCATCTTTTTTAATGTGAGTTTTAAGGGGATTTTTGGGGTTTCAATGAATTTTGACTGGGAGGTGGTTGATTTGAATAAAAACTCACATTAAAGATTTATTAAAATAAAAGAGAAAAGAAATAGAAGAAAAAAAATAGATTATCTAAGATTTATAGAAACAAAAGAGAAAATAAATAAACAAAAAAACATCTTCAGATTATCTATGATTGATAAAAACAAAAGAGAAAAGAAATAAAAGAAAAAAAAATCATTTCAGCTCAATGGCCAAGCTTTTACAAGGTATTCTTCTAGAGTTATCAATTGAATTCCAACGCCAGCACAATATGCCAAATATTTTAAGTAAAAAACATCTTTCATATTTTTATTTTTAGGCACCCAAATCTTCATATTATGAAATACTTGGGAGAATAAAAGAGAAGTTGTAGCATAAATGAATGTCCACAATCCTGCCGGTCCCTCAAAATTGGAGGGATTGTTCTCTCTCCTCACATTCCATTCATCTTTAGCTTTCTCTTTCTTCACCTTATGCTACTCTACATTACATTCCCTTGTAAATACCTCCAACCAAATAGGAGTTTTTATTGCATCCCTCACCTTACTCTACTTCCACTCCTACCGGTGGTTTAAATATAAATTGAAAAAGGAATTGCGGTCCGTCGCCAATAAGTATTGGGGACGGAGAAACATTGACGACGCCAATAACCCGTCACCAATACGAACATTGGCAACGTACAGATCCCGTCGCCAATACTTATTGGCAATGAGAGAACATTGGTGACGGACGCGGTTGTCGCCAATAGGTATTGGCGACGGAAAACATTGGCGACGCAAATAACCCGTCACCAATACAAACATTGGCGACGGGTAACGTCACCCATGTTTGTATTGGTGACGGGTAATTTTCCGTCGCCAATGTTTGTATTGACGACGGATGCTAAATCCGTCGCCAATACCCCGTCGTCAATGCTCTGTTTTCTACTAGTGTATTTTTAAGATTGTTCTAGACAGGGGGAAAGACCCCGGCCCGCTATAATCCTTACCTAATCATAAGCTAATTTAATCCTTTCCTCTGAATGCAGTTAAACGTCTCTCCATTTTATACCTTCTCTAGACGAGTCCTACACGAAGTGAATGCACTAATAGTTTAGCAATTTCGATTAGTCTTATATATATGAAGTGAATGTACTAATCGTTTCATATATATTTAGACTAGTCAGCATAAGACTCTTGATTAATTATCAATCACCAATGAGAGGAACAAAATTAGACCTAGATGGGTACCTAAAACTTTAGAGCTTGGTATAGAAAACTTTGGTAGGGTTCTCTAGCGTTAAATTACAAAATTCACTCTCATGCGTCGTGGACCTTATCAGTATCCATTAGCTCTCTAGAAAGAGTGGACATCATAAAATTTGATGCTTACTGATTAAGCAGCATATCAGTTCCCTTATCCTACCACTTTCTATACTTACAGAAGCATCCAATTCTATCAAATCGTGTTTATGTCAACTGTTCGATAATTGGTGAAGAAATCATGAACATGCAGAACTTTCATTTAAAAGTCAACCATCCCTAGGGAATTAATTCTTCTAATGAAAGTTGCGTCTACATTAACTTTCCTAATTGAATGACCATGGCCAGTCGCGCGATAGTGGAGACTTAAAGAGCCTTTGTTTTAATCATAACCGTTAATTATCTGGTGGATGATTACGATTTATCTATACAAACGAAAACAGATATACTCATGAGGATGTTATAACAGCTATATTTCAACATGCCATAATTGTTCTGCACGTCAATGTATAGTTATGATTTGCGAAGTGGTGTCTTCAGTACCAAATAAAAAAGTGAAGAAGATACAAATCCACTGATCTCTTATTATCATATAATGTATTGGTTTTACTCAAAAGTTTGAGGTATTAGATTAAAAAATAATGAACTGATGAGTACATACTTGTTTTGCTGAAATGTTTTGAGGTTTTCTTTCTTCTCCTCTCAGTCACCGTTCAGTTAGTGGCTAAAAAAGGCTTGGAACTTGAGAAGGGGTAAATTCATAGTGCTCACGCTAAAAGCTCGGCACTCTGGAGAAAGCCCAGGGTTAATTGAGTAGATAAATCTCATATATTAGTGTTAGTTCAAAGATGTTATCTGAAAAGGGGGGAAAACTTGAAATCCGTCTGCAGAACTGATGAGTATAGAAACATTATCTGTAAATATTCTCCAGATAACGCAAAAGTTCTTTCTGGAGAATCTGTTGAAGACATGCACAAATATGCACAGACCATCGGTCGACGGTCGACTGATCAATTTCATCAGTCGACCGATTCGACCGCCACAAAATAGGTACATGAATTTATTCTGGTCGGTCGACTGATAGGGATGTATTTGTCGACAAATAACGTGCGCTGCAGGAACTGGGGAAATTCTCTCTGGCCAGTCGATCGATGAATCCCTATCGGTTGACCGATAGCGGGCTGAACGGGTAAAACCGTTTCCCAGTGTGTTTTGGATTTAGGGTTTTATAAATTTAGAAGTGTGTGCGGCTATAATAGAGAGAGTTGATTAGAGAGAATTTTTTAGCACTTTGAGAGGGAGATTCTTTGAATGTGAGGGAGATCTTGTTGGTGAGGGTTATTTTGATTGATTGAGAGTTGTAATCCATTGTATTTCTCCTTCATATAGTGAAATCTCTCCATCCTCTCCCCGAGGATGTAGGCATCTTGCCGAACCACGTAATTCTCTGTGTTTGCGATTGATTTTGACCATTTATGTTGTGGATTGTGTTCGTTGTGTTCTTTGTGCATTGCTTACAGACTTATTGTGGATTGAGTCCGCTTTTGCCGGGCGCAACAAAATCCAATGGAAAATGAGAGTTAATCTTAGATCACAGAGGTTTTTTTTAAACAATTTCTGCATCAGAAATAATTTTTCTTCTGTGGACTTAATAGAGGACAAGCATAGCTGCATAGGTCTTACATTCAACTTCTCATTCAACAAAACAAAAAAATAAAAATAAAAAAAAATTAAATTTAAAAAATTGAATTTAAAAAAAAATTGAATTTGGGATACTGCAAACAAGTTAATGATTATGAAGAATGCATTTGAATAAATTTCCATGAACACTAACCGTCATTTTTACTACAAGGGAAACATGACATATAATTCAATTGCAAAATTTGTCACTGTTTACATTGAAAACACAAGAGATTCATAACACAGCAAATTCTTAAAATTGCAATTTAGTTTATGGCAAAAAATGACCCGTGAAACTTTATGCCTCAACTTGTAAGAGAATGTACCTCCATGAATGAAAACAAGTTGTGGGTCAAACCCTAAAGAAGAATTCCATGGGTCTGAGATTGGATTCTCTCACAGTGCATGATTCTGTCAATGGCCATAGGCGGTACCTTTGAAATTGGTAATAAATGTCACACCTCGACCGCAAGTATGTTGGCGCGATGTATGTTCTAGAACTCATTCAATACAACACGTCGTTTAGCTCAACCCACTGCAAAATTGACTAGTTGATGTTACACTTGACTCTCAAGACCCGTTTAAGCCATCTAAATTCTCTCGGTTGGGGATTTGGGTTCAAGTGTAGCATTGACTAAACAGTAATTTGAGCTAAACAACAAAAGTATTTGGTGGGACCCATGACTTGCATCGCAGTAATGGGCTCACCGGCTTGGGGCCCCACCAACAAAAACCTCTCTCCTCTTATTAATCTCTCATAACTCCCCACTTCCCTTTACTGCACTCTCCACATTCCCGTCTTCATTTAACTAACAATCTCTCTTCATGGCAGTAGCAACCAAAGAAGCTACAACAACAGAACCACTTCAATTCCAGGTACTCTTTTATTCCTCTGCTCTCTTCTCTGTTTCTTGAAACCATTGATGTTTCCAAACAAAAACTCAAATCAAAATCTCATTTTTGATGTTTGCATCAGACATGGAATCTGAAGGTCTCGATCCACTGCGAGGGCTGCAAGAGAAAAGTCAAGAAAGTACTCCAAAGCATCGAAGGTAAAAGACATACACAAAACCAAAATTATCCCATAAAAATTTCTGACTTTTTTCTTCTTTTAACAAAACTTCTTATATGTATCAGGAGTGTACATGGTCAACATAGACTCACAGCAGCACAAGGTGACAGTAACTGGAAACATCAATGCAGAGACCCTCATCAAGAAGCTGATCAAAGAAGGGAAGCAGGCTGAGCTCTGGCCTGAGCCAGAGCCCAATCCGGAGCCCAATGAGTCTGGTGGCAGCAAGAAGAGCAAGAACAAGAAGAAGAATAAGAAGAAGAACAACAGCAACGATAGTCAGCCCAACCCCATCAACGAACCTTCAAACAACCAAAAAAAGAAAGAACCCCAACACGAATTAGAAGAAGATGGCCCAGCGCCAATGAAGGACAATAAGGCAATTAACCCTGGGGGAGGCAATGGAAATGGCAACGACAGTGGAGGTGAAGCTGCAGTGTCACAAAATCATCAGAGAGCTCCAGGACACTACAATCCACCAATGTACCCCACGCCTCCGCCAGTGGTGAGTTACAAAACCGTGCAGCCAGTGATGGCTGGAACCTACTACATCCCTGCAATGGCGACGGTGAGGGAGGTGGGGAGGTATGATTACTTTAGTGAAGAGAATGCAAACGCTTGCAGTGTTATGTAAAATGGAATCTTAACTAGTGACTATGTGCTCCCTCTTAATGAAGATTATGTGTTGTATTGGATGAGATTATGAATACGCCTAGCTTGTTTATGGTGGGAATTTTGTTAGAATATTAGAGAAGAGAAGTTTGTTTAGTTTCACTTAGACAAACTATGCAACTGCAAGTTAATTTGTTTTCCTACAAATAAAATTTTACTATTCCTCTTGAGTATCAAGGCAGTTGTCCAAATACAACACGGTATCAAAAAAGCATGTTATGTTCTCACAACCAAAATCCTGATCATAGTCCATAATCCCTCTATTCTATCTAATTTCTTCAATATGGTAACTGGTCTAATAATAACTTGTTCTGTTTTCCAAGAAATGACATTTAATTTCAGTTTTCATCTAAAATCAATTTATTCATTAAATGATAAGTAGTTACGATTAAAAAGAAGCGATCTATCCATCATTTTTATCTAACAGAAAGGAAGATATCAGAATTCATGTCTAATTAGTTGTGGTTTGGCCATATTTGTTCTTAGCAACTGAATTCTGAAGGTTCTCTTGTTGCTAAATGTTTATGTCATTGTCAGTCACAGGTCTCGAATAATGCTGTCTTAATCTTCCAGAGAGAAAAAATATGCCAGTATACGGTATAGAGGTCGGAAGTTCAAGAAATGTGCGTTAGAAAAACAAAGAAATATACAAATATTAAAACTAAACCAATTAGAAGAGAACGCTTTCGCATTCTTATGCAAGTGGTTTTCTTCAGGAAGATCCCCTCAGATCAAATCAAATAACTTTCAAAGTTCAAAAGGTTCCAAATTGTAATATTTATTAGTTAGCATAACACCAACATTAAGAAATGACTAGATCTATATCAAAAAAAAAAGGTTCATATCTAAAGGACCCTTGGGAGACAAGGCTGCATCTTTTAAGTTCTATTGGTGGACATAGAATTTGATACTGATTACTAGCTCTATGAGGAGTATATTTATCTTCACAATAATTAAGCTACTTTATTAGATTCTTCCTTAGGTGACCTTGGTTATTTTGTACTTTTAAACTTATTAATTACCATTGATGGGGCAGAATAAGTTATTCGTTTTAGCTTTCCTTCTCTATATCACTCACTGAAGTGACAATCTTTATTGTAATTCACTGTGGTGGAATTCGCAAGTTATGTGTCTTGTCATGCTAGATTTCTTGACTAAAGGCTCCTATAGTTTGATGGTGTTACATCCAATTTCACCAACTTAGAAGTAATTAACCAACAATATTTTTTGAATAGTTTTTTGAAAAATTTTGAGCAATTAAGAAGTAGCAGAGTTGCTATAAGCTTTTAAACTCCTCTAGGTAATTGACTTTTGATTAAAAGCTTCAAATATGCATGATTATATAATTCATGTGATCTCTTTGAAAGATACGACTTTGATTGTAAATATAAGAAATCTTCAACTTAATCATCCTATATAGTTTTGATCTATAGAAAAATACTTTGAGATATCTCAATTTGCTCAGTTCTAATTTGCAAGACAAAAATACAAATGCCAAAAAAAATTAAGAACTTACTGTGGTATATGTGGGTTCAAGTGAATGCCTTTTATGGAATGCAGTATAAATGTGAAGCTAAACTCTTCTAGCCTCAAAGCAAACCTTTGCTTTAGTGCTGGTTATAAATTTTGTAAGGGAGAAATCTTAATAAAAACTCTAAATGTTGGCTAATTTGACTAAGAAGTAAATAGGCTTTGAAACTTTCAAGAAGCCACAACACATAAACCACAGAGTTTAAGCACCTTTAGGGTGAAGCCCTATATGAAATTATTTTGAAAAACAATACTCAAGAATATAATATAATTTGATCCTAACTTTTTCAGTAAATTAACACTGGAATGTTGGTAAAACATAAATATAATGATGATGTGCAAAAATCCTAGTAAGATCACATAAATCAATGAAACAAACAAATAATCAATATTTATGACCATAACCAGCAAAAACAGCACATGATAATTTAATAAAAATATTAATACATCACAAATAATATTTCACCAACATTTATGGAATATAAAATATTAAAATATTCAAAAAGTTTGTAACCTTAGGAGGCGCACATATTTTTAAAATAAACATAATGAATTTTTATGCATGATGTAGATATGAAATCCATTGCCTCTGTGATGCAAGGCAACCTAATAAAATCAAAATAATTTTCAAAGAATGTGTTAGACTTTTGAAATTTTGATTATGTGCTTAATTTGGATTATTTTAAGAATTTGTTGGATAGGTGGATAGAACCTAAGGTTAAATCTTGCGGAAGAAAATTAAATAAATACCAGATGGGAAATTCTTTTAGTATTTTATCAACTGATATTTATCTAATATGATGAAACATTTAAGATATGCCCTATAAATATAAACAGAGTCTAATCATAAAAATCTTAGTGTAGTTTCTTTTTGTGATGTTAGTGTTATTTATACTAGATGCTCGACACTATAATATTCATGAAGAGAAAACTTTAGTTCATTGCGTGGTACAAATAGTAAATAACAACTAGTATTAAGTAGTGACTATGCATTTTTAAAGTACATTTTCTCTTAATAATCCACCAGGTGGATATATATACCATAATCGGCATCTCTTTTTCTCACAACAATATATATTAAAGGAAAAAAATTGAGCAGCTGACCTCTCCCTGAGAGTAAGTTGTTAATGTATATCCTTTCTAGCAACTACATCAATTGATCACAAGGCATATGCCCATAAAAGCCAAGGTGCTTTTTTTTCAGTCTCTTGACTCCATCCAGTTGCACAAACCCTCTTACCTTATCTCCTGCCAGTAGGCTTCTCTTTCTCAGCATCTTCATACATTGTATGAAAAATACGGAGAGTGGAGATATGATTTCTTGAGAGATGTCATTCTCATTTGTTGTGTGTATAATAAGTAGCATCTCCTATCCACAATCAGTACATTTCTCTTTGTCATTCTTCCTTTATCTTGTTACAACTTTTCGATATTGAGAGGATAATTCCTATGGCATCCGTCATATATCCCCATGGGGACCCTTGTGACCCTGTAATGTGAATAATAGTCATCATCATATATTGGAAGTTTCATGATCAACCTATCATTCTCCATCCTATTTGGTGTGTATATAACATGTAGCATCTTATCTAGAATCAAGTCAGTTCTGTACGCTGTTCTTCCTTTTATCAAGTGACAAATTATCCTTAGTATCAATACATATCCTCATGGGACCAATATGGATCCCTGGGACGTAATCTCGGTCAATAGTTGATGTCTTTCCTGTGAAAGGTGTGATGCTCGATGCTCTTCACAATAAAAGAGACTTTTCGTTAATTAGCAAATATGCTGATTATCAAAATTAAGTCTTAAGGAAAGTATATTTCGAAACAATACCATTATATATTTGTCACAAATAGTGCTAGTAAGCAGCTACAATGGATGATCCTTGTGTTTCAAAACAAAATGCGAGAGATGTCTGCCTGAAAAGGGAGGATACTTGTTATTGAGTTATATGAACACCTCTTAAATATGGATTATTACTACACCAAAAGTGTAAACAAAAATCAGTTATACATTTGTCAATCTGCTGGGTAGCTTATTGCTCTCGCTCCAAACAGATTTCCACCTGGATAACACGAACCATATATTGGTATGCAATGTAATAAACTAGCAAAGAAATTTAGCAAAAAATTTGGACGATTGTGTAAATAGAGGTTTAACCCATACATGTCATCAGAGGTTCACCATGGATCAAACAGCAGTCACATCTGTTGATCCTTGTTACAGGAAAGTGTCCAAAGCATCACAGAGTTTTTGGTGATTATATTGATGAACATAGCATGGAATGAATCTGTAGCTCCATCTAACAAAGATTTGGAACCAAGAGGATGAAGCTTTTCTACGCTAGTCTACAGTGTAAGTGCAACTTCAAATATTCCTGACTATAAAACAGCACGGCCTGTTTTAGTGAAATTCTAAATTTGATCAATTGTGCTAGTTGCATTTATAACTAGCTGTGCAGAAAATCCCCTATAAACCTAGTATTATAGGATTTCAAACATAGGACCGTTAGCCACATAATCCTTGAGTCTAATTTGAACTATTTATTCAAGGTATGGCGTAATGCTGTTTCCTCTGGGAAATTTTGGTCTTAATACCTCCAGGCACAACCTCCAGCATAAAGTGGAGGCATGGTCAAAGATCTAACCTATGAAATTCATATACAAGGAAATCATGTCCATTTGAATTGAAGACCAGAAGATCATTACAACAGGGGAGAAGAAAACTTTAGCATATTTTTCGAATATTAGACACAATAATCTCATATTACTAGACAACATGAGGGGAGGAAATCTTGGAAGTCACTATACATAATGATCAAATGGTATGTAACTCCGTCTTTTCCAACGATAGAGTTTTACTACAGCTTTACATACAAATAACATGCATGTATTCCACTCCCACATTAGCATTATCATCTCTGCTACAGTTAATTTTGGACTATCAATGATCAAGATGATAAATAATAAATATCTAGCTTTTGTCAAATTTGTTTTACCTGGAAATGAGGTCAGCCCTTCATCAACATATATGCTGACTTCTCCTCCTTTGTGACAAGATTCTGACATTTTGAGGGTACTCAAAAGGCCCATAATGGAGAACCCATCAAGTTGGACAATTAGTCAGTTAAGAGGTAAGAGGTAAATGACAAAATTGTGATGTGAGATTCAACAAACTGAGTGAAAAAAGAAGATAATGTGACATAAACGAGTGAAAGAACTATTTGCCGGCAAACTTAGGATGATCTTGCTCCTAATGTATCATACTATCAAGAATGATCTTGGGGATTTATTTTAATCGGATTACTAGAAAATCAATGAAATGGTAAAGTTTTCTACTGATTTAAAAACCCCAAACTCACAATGTCATGGTTAATCAATGTAGCTAACTTTTAGTCAGGACCACTAATTGTTGCTGATATATGATATTTATTTCCCCTGCATTTTGAACATATAAGAGGACACCTTGCAAAATTTTATATTAAAAAGTCATAGGATTTTTTCACCAAGGAAGAAACAAGTCTGTTAGATTTCTCCAATTTAGAATGGATTGTTAAAGAACTCTCAAATAAAATTCTTCTTATCTATCAAATGATTATGCAAATATTGATCATCAACCATGCTCTCTACTCAAGCTAGTATAGAGTTTCCTCCAGGAAAATTTGGTCTAGATCTAGCCTATTAAATTCATATACAAGGAAATATTAGTCCATTTGCATTGTAGACCAGAAGATCGTTACAGCAGGGGAGGATAAGACTTTAGCATATTTTCCGAAGTTTAGACACAATAATCTCATATTCTCTACATAACATGAGGGGAAGAAATCTTAGAAGTCAGTATACATAATGATCAAATGGTATGTCACTCCTTCCTTTTCAAGGATATTTACTGTTTTGCTAAAACTTTACATACAAATAACATGCCTTTAATGTATTTTCACTCCCACGTTAGTGTTATCATATCTGGTACAGTTAATTTTGGACTATCAATGATCAAGATGATAAATAATAAATATCTACCTTTTTGTCAAATTTGTTTTACTGGAAATGAGGTCAGACCTTCATCAACATATATGCTGACTTCTCCTCCTATCAAGATTCTGACATTTTGAGGATTCCCAAATGGCCCAAAATGGAGAACCTATCAAGTTAGATAATTTGTTAGATAAGAGGTAAATGATAAAATTGAATGTTAGATTCAAGAACAAACTGAGTGAAGACGGAAGAGTGTATCACGATAAACGAGTGAGAGAACTATATGCTGGACAGCTTACGATGCTCTTGCACCGGATGTATTCATACAATATCAAGAATGATCTTAGGGATTTATTTAATCGGAGTACTAGAAAATCAACTAAATGGCAAAGTTTTTTACTGCCCCGAACTGACCATGTCATGGTTGATCAATGTACAGAGAAGCTAACTTTTAGTCAGCACTATTAATTGTTACTGGTCTATGATATTTATTTTTCCTGCCTGTTGAACATATAAGAGCACACTTTGAAAAAATTTACAAGTTAAAAATCATCCAAAGTTTTCACGAAGGAAGAAACAAAGCAAATCTGTTAGATTTGTGTCAAATTTAGAATGGATTGTTAAAGACCTCTCAAATAAAATTCTTCCATCTATTAAACAATTATGCTAATTAGTGACATCAACAATGCTCTCACCTCAAGCTAATATAGAATTCATAAATTCCAACAATATCATATCATTTCACCATTTTAGAGAACACACTTGCAGAGAATTGATTAGTGTTTCGATGTTTGTCGTCGCATGCTAGTTTATGTTCTTTAGCAACCAAATGTAACAACTACCAATGCAGAGTTAAATTTTCACATTATCTGATTTTGCGGCTTTGACTGTGCATTAGAGTTGCATATTTTATAAGATACTCTACAGAAAATCCATCATCTTTCCCCTTCGAAATTCTCCCACAGTCTAGCAGTATTTTTTTTTTGGATGAATTCTCCTCAATAGCACAAACTTAAAATTCACTGACAAACAGTGGTAAATTTTGGTTAATTCCCTCCACTTTTAATATGAAAAGGGTTCAGATTTCTAGTGCCAATGTGGTTCAAAGATTAGATTTAACCATTCATAATTTAAACGCGCGCACAGTTCAAACAATTAACTATAAAATCCAAAAAAAAACAAATTCTCACCACTTCATCCTTCAACTGGCATCGTCAACAGAGAACTTGAAATGGGAGCTAGATTTCGATATCCTTTGAATTAAGAATTATGGTTTTATTTGAGGGTTTTTTTTTAGAGAGAGAAAGCTGAACCTGATGAAGAGAGAGAAAGAAGCTGGAGATGGGATGCAGCGCCCACGTGTCTCCGAATTAGGCCGGCTTGTGGGGCCCAATGCCGTCGCCATTGCTGCTGGGGACTGAGTGTTACATATAGGTGCCCTGCAGGTAATAATTGTATATTGTAACAGGACCTATATGAATATAACATCCTTGTTCAAAGGTGCCCTGCAGGTAATAATTGTATATTGTAACAGGACCTATATGAATATAACATCCTTGTTCAAAATAATAGTATGCTATTTACCTATATGAATATAACATCCTTGTTCAAAATAATAGTATGCTATTTTGGTCAGATTTATCTAGTATTTTTAAATACAAATAAAGTCCTTAGAATGATACTAGACTATCAGACATTTTCGGATATGATCGTAATGAAGAGATCTGATTTGTCGCTAACGTATATTCTAAAATGTTCCTAGTCGATGAAGTGTTGAAATAGGACATCATCACTTTGGTAAGACTAGTGTATACTCTATTTCTCCTTTGGAAGGACGATGATCCATCTCTTAGATCATTGATGTAAGACATCAAGATACAGTCTACGGGTAACTCATTATTGAATGAGTTGACTGAACGACTCATCGAGAATATCTAGTTGGTAATTATACTTAACTGTCAAATAGAAGTTCTCAAGTGATATAGTACATAGTAGTCTCATGACCTGAGGCATGAGTGCAATATCTTACATGTCAGTATAGGTGTACTTAGACTTTTACCTAACCACAGTTCTCATCGAGTTGTGCATAACGGTTCTTGTTGGGTACATCCCGAGGCATAAGTAGATATTAAGATGCCAATATGGGATTCGTCTCTCCCAGTATAGGGGGTTGATGTCATAAGATTGTTTGATATAACTATAACCTGAAAATCCTTGGCCGAGGTAAATAAGATAAACTGAGTGTTAGTTTTGATCTTATAGGTTATGAGTTTAATATCAACAAACACTAATTGAGCAATTAGGGTTTGATAGTTTTCCATATCCTAGGCTCAATAGTTTGACATGGTTTGACGAAGAGATCAGACTGTACGGTATTATCACTGAGTGGTCCTGATAAAATTGTGTAAGCATCTTACAGACATTTATCACAACTAATATCCGGGTAGTCTTCATGTGTAGCTAGCACCTCTGTTGTACTTGTGGATATGATCCACTGTCGAGTCTTATAGTTAGGCCCTAGAGTCACACCAAGCGCGTACTTAAATCATATGAAATATAAATTTATAGAGTAATGTGTATGATTGATACGCATATATGATTTTTACTGGATACACATAAACAGTTATATGTATCGGTAAAATCAGAATGCTATGTGCTTAAGAAATAAATTTTAGTATTTTTTTTTCCATAAAGTTAACGTTTAGTCAACTGGTTGACTTTTTGGTCAACAGTTGACTTTTGGTCAACTCATTGACTTTCTGGTCATATGATGACTTATTAGTTAATGATTGGAAAATTACGAAATACCGTATTGATGTGGTATTTTCATTTATGAAATACGAACTTCATTATACCTTGATTAATGAGTCATGAGATGAGTCATTAAGGTGGTATGGTTTGGGAACATGGTTTTAGCACATAGTTTTGATTCTTCATGATTCATTACATGACTCATGAGATGAGTCATTGCATGACTCATGAAAGAATCATTGTTTTGATGACTCATTGTGTGACTCATAGGATGAGTCATTCATGTCATGACATATTCTTCCTCTATAAATATGAGCTCTCTTTCTTCTTTTATGGTTAATGGAAAAATGAAATAAAGGGTTTATTCATAGTTGCTTTCCATAAAAGAAAAAAAAAGAGATCTACCTCTTACTAAACTCTAGCAATCTTTGAGTAAGAGAAAGTAGTAGGATTTTAAAGTACCACGGGGTGGATATCTTGCCTTGTGTCTCAAGAAGACTCTGATTTTATCAAGCTCACTTGAAGACTTGGAGATCCACTATGAGGAGATTTACTACTACAAGGAGCAAGAGTTAGGGGTTGTTCGATCTTCCATCGAATCACGCTTCAAAAGTATGACTTTATAACCCTTGTATGCTCTCTTTAATATAGGAATCATGTTAGATTTAATTAGGATGGTCCTATTTTATATTTCATGCTCTCTACATGCTTAGTAATTTTATACATACAATATTCCGTTGCGTATTTAGCATGTAATTAGCACGAATTTCCAACATGGTATCAGAGCCATGGTTCCATCTAATTAAATCTTAACATGTATATCTAACTCATAGTGGTCTTTGTTCTTGCTTCTAATTGCTAGTTTAATTAAAAGATGATTTAAAGAAACTAGTTAATTTAATCAGGATGTTTTGTCATTAGTTATACTAGTTGTTGATTCAAAAATATGATTTTTGGTTCATAAGTTTTTAAGAGTAAAAACACTTGTATAACTTGCAAAACAATTATTTACAAGTAGTGTAGTTGTATGTTAGAAGCATGATAGTCCTATTTGAGTTAGGATAATCCCTTCATTATCTAGTTTTCCAATTTGTTGCATAACTAGATAGATGCATATTTCTTAATGTTGATTAAGTTGTATGTTTTATATCATAATTTGTTGCATAACTAGATAGATGCATATTTCTTAATGTTGATTAAGTTGTATGTTTTATATCATCTTGTTTGGATGTTATGTTTATGGATGGTAGTATTTCTTAATGTTGATTAAGTTGTATGTTTTATATCATCTTGTTTGGATGTTATGTTTATGGATGGTAGTAGACAACGATTCTCTTGTATTTATTGTATTGATGTAATATAGCTAAAAATATAATATTTTTTTCCACCTCTTCCCTCCCCGAGCATGGTCTATGCCTACGGGTTTAGGCACTTGTTCACCGATCATGGGCTACGCCTACGGGTATAGGCCCTTGTTCGGGTGGGGGGGGTATGGTTATTTAGTTTAGTTATTTTATTTATGGCTTTTATTTTACATTCAATGTAATATTATTACCCATCCTACGAGATGGTTTTTCCATTATAAATAGGGGGGGGGGGTATGGTTGTTTAGTTTAGTTATTTTATTTATAGCTTTTATTTTACATTCAATGTAATATTATTACCCATCCTACGAGATGGTTTTTCCATTATAAATAGGGCTTGCACGTCCTATGTATATGTGATTGTAATAATACAATATTTACAAGGGAGCTAGCACTACAAGGAGTTGCAAATTGCTTGTCAAAATGTAATTAGTGTAGTTGCATTTTATTCCTTTAGTTGTCCACTACCATTCCATATTGCTTTTACATATGTTGATATGTTTGGTTGTGCCCCAATTGTAGATGTCAATACAATTGGGTGCTATATTCTGCAAAGTTTATATCTCTATCTCACTAGAGAAATAGTTTTTATTATAAAAAAAACTCATTTTAAACTTTGTGAGACATGGCAATAAGAGTTTATTGACCATAGAGTGGTGAGACCGATATTAACATAGTGTTAGTGTGTAAGATAAATAAATCTGTAGCAGTTAAAAGAGATATATTTAGAACGAACTTTTAACTAGTGTCTAGGAAAGTGATTATGAGATATAGCTCATGGGATGATGCCCAACTTAAGATAAGGGGTGATGCCCAATCTTTCGCGTTATAGTCTTAAAGAGCGGTGGTTACTTAATTAAGGTTTGATGAATATTCCCGGTGAATAGCTCGAAACCCTCCCACCAATCTTGCGCTTTCCTGGCTAGTTTAATTGTTACAAGTATAAATATAGAAGCATCTTTTAACTATATCAAGTTTGATTATGGTAAAAGATTTATGAAATCGTCTGTAGCCCTCCATCATTTCAGTTGAATACTATTAAGCTTATAAATATGTAGCCCTCCATCATTTCAGTTGAATACTATTAAGCTTATAAATACTTTGTTTGTTGGCTATCGTCAAGGCAATACTATTCTATGGCTAAGTAGTATTCATCTGTATATAAGATATAAGGATAGCTTAAATTGGTTATGCGACTTTGTTGGCTTTCGTCAAGAGTTTGCATAAGTTAAATTTAAGTCAGTCAAGAAATGATGGGTCCAAACTTGACTAGTTTTTATGATTCGTTGGCTATCGTCAAGGTCATTAAAGACTAGGGGTAAAATCATATCAAGAATTATAAGAGTGTAAAAGACAATAGTTGTCTACCAATTATTAAGTGTATCAATTTGTTGGCTTTCGTTAAGGTTAATACATTCAATGATAATTGGATCTTGATCCCACTTAAAAACAAGGGGTTGTTTTCCGATCACCTCTTATAAGGTTTTGAGGGACTCGAAAAATAGTGGGAGATATAACTTAGATAAAAATGAACCAAATCTATTTTATGTATTGAACATCTACTAAAATAATTTTTTTTTTCTCTCTTTCAGGCCATTATGTCTGGCTTAAAAATCATATCAGAACAGAACAAGTTAACCGATCCTAATTACATAGACTGGCTGAGAAATGTTAAGAGTATATATCCAGAATTCTTAGCCTCACTCATCAAGAAGAAGCAAGATGTTGTTTCATCTTCAGATGTGTTTGTTACTTAGAATTGTTTTTCTATAAATCCTACATCTTAGGTATTAGATACCGGATCAGGATCTCACATCTGTAATTTGTTACAGGGGTTGAGAAGTTATAGGAAACTTGGAGTTGGAGAGATGAGCCTACAAGTTGGTAATGGTGCAATAGTTGCAGCACTTGCAGTAGGGGATTTTCATCTAGCTTTGCCAAATAGAAACGTTTTGATTTTAAAAAGCTGCTATTTCGTACCAACTATGATGTGCAATATAATATCCATATCTTTATTAGATAAAGATGGGTATATATTCAAGTTGTAGAAAAATGTTATGAATATCATATTTAATCAAAAATTGATTGCTTATGGAACATTGTGTAATGGCATTTATATTCTTAATCAAAACACAATTCTGAATACTCATCATGCTAATAAAAGAAAGCACTCAGTTATGAATGACACTTTCTTATGGTATTGTAGACTTGGTCATAT